ATGGTGTGTGCAATGTTTCTGCCTCAATAAGCCCATTAGAGACTCAGGACCCAATGTTTTTATTGGAGGCTGGTCATGTAGGCATCCTCTCCAAATACTAAAATTACAGAATTCCAGAAGGAAAACATATTCACCATACATCATCACATTGTTTATATAAGCAACAGAGCAGTACCAAGCTGGTCTTTGTCAGCTGGGGGACAACTCGAGTGTCAAGTTCCCAAATGCCAACCAAGGACCAACCTTGTCAGGATGCCTTTCTAGAAGCAGCCTCAAAGGGAGATTCTCAGGAGGAGCTCAGTCAGTTATGCATCCAACTCCCAATCTTGTGGTTTGTGAGTTTTGAGCCCCAATCAGGCTCTGAACTGATGAGTGTAGGACCTGTGAGATTCCCACCCCACCACCCACACCCCTCCCACCCCCCCCCGTCTCTCTCTGCCCTTTCCTGCTCTTGCCGCATGATCTTTCTCTCAAAATAAATAGACACTAAAAAAAATTAGAATAAACAAACAAACAAATAAAGATGGCAGCCTCATGCCAGCTAGGCGAACTCTTTCTATGCAGACTACAAGAATAACCAGTTAAGATACTATTTAATGTGCTGAAATTATTTCGACAGGTTTTACATTTAAATTACCTTTTGCTATTCCATAAATAATTTACAAGCCATTTTTAGACAATTTTATCACATTCCCAAAGGTTTACATCTTTACCTAAAAAAAATTAAAAAAAAAATTTTTTTAACGTTTATTTATTTTTGAGACAGAGACAGAGCATGAACGGGGGAGGGTAAGATAGAGGGAGACACAGAATCGACAAGCGGGCTCCGGCATCTAGCTGTCAGCACAGAGCCACGGAGCTCAGAACTCTGAACAGCGGATCATGACCTGAGCCGAAGTCAGAAGCTTAACCGACCAAGCCACCCAGGCGCCCCTACCTAAAAAAAATTTTAAAGAGGAAGGGATACTCTGATGAGAATTGCTATTTAGGAGTTGCAAAGATACAAATTTTTACATGAATGAAGTATCAAGCCAACCCAGATGTGTACACTGGGTTGAGTGTATGATCAACACAGAAGCAAAAGGTACTATCTTAAGGGCTACCTGGTGCAACAGAACCCAAGATTCTCCAAGGATGGAATGTGATTTTGCCAAAATCCAAATGGACTGTTTGGACCTTGTTGGAGCAGTTAGATTGCCAGCAACCACCAGCAGCTAGGAAGGAAATCTGGGATGGTTTCTTCCCTAGAACCAGAGAGACCATGGCCCTGAGAGCACATCGATTTTGACTTCCAGCCTTCAGAACTATGAAAGAATTAATGTTTGCTGTTTTAAGCCACAAAGTTTGTGGTAATTTGTTACGGCAACTCTAGGAAACTGAAACTAACACAAATGCATTATATCTGAGAATTTTTTAGAAGTATTGAAAGACCCCAACCCAAGGCTCAGGAAGTTCAACATTTCCAAAGCAAAATAAATACCTAGTCAATTCAATAAATCCAACAGAAGGCAACAAAAGAGAAAATGAAGCATGAATAAGGCAGATGAACTGAAAAGTACAAAGTAATTCCAACTCAATAGTGATTAAAATAATTGTAAAAGAACTAAACGTACCAGTAATAATCAAAGAGTATCAGCCTGGGTATAAAAAAGAATCAACAAATCTAAATGTATCCTATTTATAAGAGACACGCCTGAGGTATGAAGAACTACAAATCATTAAGACAAACAGCACAAGGGCAGATACTTAACAGAAGAGAAATACGAATGGTCAAGAAACACGGAAAAGGAGCTTATGGGGAGAATGGGGGGGGGTGTTTGAGTAGGGTGGGGGGAAGCAGGGAAGAAGGAGGAGTCTAAAGAGGAGGAACATACGGGAGCCTTGCAAGTAATGTACCTTTTAAAGATTAAATGGCAGCCAATGGATGTTAATTGTACTGTTTTTCATTCTTTACACATCTATGCACTAGTTCTTTTATCTCCAAATTTTCAGTTTTTCTTTTTTAATTTTTAAAAAAAATAGAAGTCTTTTGGCATTATAATTAAGCCCTACTTAATGATTTCTCACTTGTAGTACCTCTTTTTAGTTACTGCAATCTAGTCTGTTCTAAACACTTGTCTCTTTTCCCTGATTTTTCAAGCTTATCATTTCTTTTTATTTCCATTCTGATTCGAATCCCTGCTAAGGCATAACCACAGAAGAGCCCCAACCTGCCTGGATCTTAAAGAAATAGTCATTTCACTTCATCTAGTCCTCAGGAGACAGCTCTGTCCTGCAGTTCTATTTGGCATGACTCTGCTGTTACAGAAGTAGCTGGAACTTACCTCTCCAGTCTCTGTAGACCTACTCTGCTCTCAAATCTTTCTTTCCTTCCTGTCACCAAGCATCCAGAATAATCAGTTATTCATCATTAGGCTAATTTTAGTCCTCTTACCAATGATACATTATTTTATCCAAAAATTCACATACTACACCATACATACTAGGCACAGTAGTGTGTCTAACGTTTCATTGGAAGGGAAGTTATCCTTTATTATGACAATTTTAGAAAGGAATAAAATACCTCTTCCTCCATACTCCTCTGTTGTATGAAGTCAGGTTCCCTAGAAGGATAGTCTGAGCTGGGGTTTTTTATTCAAGTGATGGGCTGAGGGGTGCTCTCAGGAGGAGGAAGTGAAAGCACTACAATCTGGCGAGGAGGAAATGCTAAGTAGGAATGTGGGCTCGGATAGCAACTAGCTTCATTCTGATCTCAGAGAGAACATATCACACTTCTGAGTTCATCTCACCTTGAGGCGAAGGGGTACCAAGAACTGTGCAGGGCCTGAGGATTATACCCTACTTACAACTAACAAGCTAGCCTGTTTCATGGATGTTGGCAGAACACACAAGACTCCCGGGTCAGAGATAAATGACTTTATCACTCCTGGCAAAAGCAAGAGCCAGAGTGTCAGCACGATGCTGAGGTGGGTTCCCCATGACCCCTAATCCCACAGAGGTGATACAAAGGACCCATGATGGATGCCTGTAATTCAGTAGGCTGCCTTGTAAGAGAGGGGAACTAAGCATTGGAGGAGGGAGGAGAGAGGAGGGATTCAGTACTTTTTATAAAAGTAAGCCTGTTTTTTGTCTGTGGGGAGATCTCACCTTAGCTCTCAAGGTTACGCTCTGCAAACAACCCTGAGAAATGGCCCATCTAAAAAGCAGTCATGGCTTTTACAGTCGTGCTCTTGACGTACCCAGCAAGGATGTGCCAGAGTGCTCAAGACTCATGGCAGCCTGTGTCTCAACAGGAGCTGGCCTTCCAAGTGCTCAGGCCCGTGGTCTGTCTCCAAGAAAGAAGGAGCAAAGTGTCCAGGAGTGAGGGGACTCATGATTGGCAGGGGGACAAAGAAAGAAGGAACAGCTGGGAATTATTTTCAATTAACACTCACAGCTGCTAGAGACGGGGTGCCAGTAAAGAGGATCTGGGAAGGGCACCGTCAGCATCCGCTACACCAGCCCTTCCCTTAAAACTGTGGACTTCTTTCAGATCACCAATTAGAGAATTTTCTAAATTCACAGCGTGTCATGCAAACAGTTGTCAAGTTTCAAATGATTTTATATCTAATCCCAAGATTTGACAGAAATAAACTCATACTTTCCTTTTGAAACTCTTCTCATATCACATTTTCTAAAACTAAAAAGTACTAAATTTGGGGGGGTATCCTCTTACAGGAGTCCTGCCATTTAAAAAAATCATGTTAGTCCCAGTTTTTGGAGAACAGTATAATGATGAGGCACAGAGGTCCTGGGGTGTCCCAATTGTCCCACCTCCTAGCCCTGTGACCTTTGGCAAGTTACTTACCCTCCTCAGTGTCCTCTTGTGTTAAATGGGCCTCAAAATAGCTCCTAGGTCATAAAGTTTTGTAGGAGTTGGTGCCTGTAACGCACTCAGAACAAAGAACAATAGCTGGTGTTTAAGAGTTCAGTCTTTGCTTATGTTTTCTAGACCCTCTCTGACTCTTCTTTCAAGCCACAGCAACAAAAACCTTGTGCAGTATTGGAGCCACAGAGAGCATCGTGAGTTCAAAGGAGGTAAGGTATTGTTTTCTGATTTGCTTCATTTCCGTCCAGTGGCCTTCCTGAACATGCCAAGTTTTTTCTTAGCCTTTTTGGATACAGTAGCACATAGGTTTAATGACTTCAGTAAAATAAAACTTCTATAACCAGTTTTTCTGTAAATTGATAATGCTATCTACATCATCCTATTTGGATTGGCTTTCTTCTAATTACTCTACCTATTATTGTTTCACCCCAAAGCTCATTGGAAACTTTCATATTCACTAATGTCAACATAAGATTTTTGGAATCAGATAATCAAAAAATGTTATATATCTAGCAACAGGCACTTGGAACTCCTCTAGTTGAAACTGCTTATAGTCCAAACCACAGATGAGGAAGTTGACTTTTCAAATGATTCAATACCTCTTCCAAAATAACAAAGATACTGCTGTGATTTTTTTCTTCCTACTATGCTGAATTATGCCCCTTTTCTGCACTTCATTCTCATAAATGAAGCAATTTATTTTCCAAAATAGTTTCACATAATAGTATAAATGTAGCTTTCCAATCACACTAAAGGTCTCCTGAATTCTTCTCTTCACCACCAATCGGGAACCTTTCCTGGAAGCTTGTTCCTGATTGGTGAAAAGTCAGCTGTAACAGAACGCCAAGGAGTAAACAAAAAAGCATAGCAACAACAGAGTTTGCTGTCTCACTACCCTCAGCCTAGGCCAACCTGGACTCCTTCATCCCAAATGACGTGGCCTCTACCTTTTATATGAAGGCTGCGATTTTCCATCCAACTGTGATTCATCTTAAAACATGGCAGTCCAGTACAGACGGGAAGATAAAACTGAACAACACAGCTAAAATAAAGTGTATTCCCAGGTAAAAAGGACACATGCTTTAATTCGAGATGAGTAAGTGTCATGAGCTGCAGTTAGAAGGCAAAGTACCAGCGCACGAGAACTGTATCTATGGGAGGTGTCCCCACTTCCTACTGGTGGCAGGTGTGGTAGTGACTTGACCCACACCGCAGCGCGTGAACTCAGAGCCGGACAGGACTTACAAACAGTGCTCGTTAGCCCCACGCTGTGGACACAGGCATCCAGGATAACTGTGCCTCTCATAGCTATGGACAGCCCTGGGTTCCTCAGAAAGAATACATTCCCAGCTGGTCGTTTGGTCCTCTATCGCTAGGCAAGTGCAGGCAGGTTGTTTTTTAATGAGTGCCAAGCGAGAATGGAGCATTTTTGCATTTTTCTGGAGGAAGAGATTTCTACCATCCCGTTTTTCATTCTTTTTTTGCAGAATACACATTGTCAAAACAGGATGAAGTTGACCAGTGAAAAGTTGCCCAAGAACCCCTTTTATACCGCTCTCTCCCAGTATGGTGCTAAGAACTCAAAATTCTTCCAGTGGAGGAAGGAAAAGACTGGTACAAATTCTTATAATATTCTCACTAAAAGGCAATTCAGTACACCAGAGCAAAAAAGACAAGAAATAGGAGTCTTACTTGCTGTCAAGGAAGCAGTTAACTTTATGGTCCTTTTTAGCTTTCCTGTAAGAATCTGAGGAATTACTGCTTATGTGGTAGCAAATCGTGAGTGGACAAGTCTCATAATCAGATCCCAAACCTGGTTTTACTCTCAGGACTTTAGGACAGCCTTCTGGAAAAGAGAAGCCAGATGTCACTTCTATTAAAGAAGTGGCAATGCCACACTTTACTTTGAAATGGCATTTAAAGCTACCACTGGTTTCTGTACACTTAATAATATTAAATTGGGGATGGTTACTAGCTCATTTGGTTAGAGTAGTTCTTTTTTTTTTTTAATTTTTTTTTCAACATTTATTTATTTTTGGGACAGAGAGAGACAGAGCATGAACGGGGGAGGGGCAGAGAGAGAGGGAGACACAGAATCGGAAACAGGCTCCAGGCTCCGAGCCATCAGCCCGGAGCCTGACGCGGGGCTCGAACTCACGGACCGCGAGATCGTGACCTGGCTGAAGTCAGACGCTCAACCGACTGCGCCACCCAGGCACCCCTGGTTAGAGTAGTTCTAATGAAGGCTCAAATTAAGAATCTCACTCATCCACAGAGTAGCTTTGCCTGAAGAACTGTGCACGCACACTGCATTGCTAGAGCACCTGCCTAGTAGTAAACAGGGTTAATTTGGAAACCAACCAATAAATATTTCAGGATTATACAAGGCACGGTGTAAGGTACCATGATCATGCTTCTTCCTTGAACTAAGGAGGCCAGTTTCACAAATGAGAACTAAGAAGGAAACTAGTAGAAACAAGTGCCAGATGAGTTCTTTATAATTCATGTGTTCGAGAGAAAATTCATATCGTAAGGCTAAAGATGGAATTCTTCACCTTTTTAAAATCAGATCATTACGGCCATGCTAATTTGGTGGACAAGGCATTGCAGCTCTTGAAGGAAAGAATAAGACGGGGGGATGCTATGGCATATTTCCTACGAGGTCAACTGTATTTTGAAGAGGTATCATTTCCTGTTTGTTTTCATTTCATATAATGCTGTTGTTGGATCCTCAGAGCAAAATTTCCTGTAGAGTTCCTTACATTGTTATACGAAGGGAATTCTGTTAAATTCCTTAGATTATGGTTGTGCCTTTAAGTATAATATATTAAGGAGACATCTGACCTTCCTTCACAAAAGTCATTCTAATGAAAGTCATTTGTAGGAGTCATTCTGATATGAAATCCATTCTCACACTATAAATTAAAAATATAATTTTTAGGGGCACCTGGGATGGCTTAGTCAGTTAAGTGAGCAACTCTTGATTTTGGCTCAGGTCATGATCTCAAGGTTCATGGGGATCAAGCCCTGCATAGGGCTCTGTGCTGACAGAGTGGAGCCTGATTGGGATTCTCTCTTTCTGCCCCTCCCCCTGTGAGTGCTCATGCTCACAAGCTCCCTCTCAAAATAAACTTATAAATGTGCACAAGCTCTCTCTCAAAATAAACTTCTATTTCCTCCCTTCTCTTCCTTCATATAGAATATTCTGACTTTTCCAGCTCTCTCACATCTAGGCCAAACATTAGCCAGAAGGGACAATGAGTCTTAACAGCTAGGTCTCTAACTCATTATGTGTTCTTTAAAATTAGTATTTGCTAGTATTTTGGTGACGTTTTTATTAATTTTATGAAATTGTTGATTAATTCGAGTTTATGAGAAAAAGGAATTCAGTTGTTTTTGTGTCTTCCAGAAGTTGTTTTTCTCTGGTCTGCTCTTCCTGAGTAATAACTTTCCAGTTCAGTAGCAGACTTTCTTTCCACGATTACAAATGATTCATTCTTTAGTATAGGACATTTTCCCTGATGGATTAAGACATTAGCCCCATATTAGTGCCTTACACCTTAGCATAGTTATCAGATTGTAACTGCTGAGGAGCCTTGAAACATGAATTCTTTTATTATTATTTTTTTATTTATTTTTGAGAGAGACAGAGACAGCATGAGCAGGGGGAGGGGCAGAGAGAGAGAGGTGGGGAGAGAGAGAGAATCCCAAGGAGACTCTACGTTGCCAGCACAGAGCCCGATGCAGGGCTCATACCCATGAAACTGTGAGATCATGACCTGAGCCGAAACCAAGAGAGGACACTTGATCCACTGAGCCACCCAGGTGCCCCAACATGTAGGTTTCTGTAGGAAGTATAGGAGAAAAAATTTTAGAGAATCACATTTGTTTTTCCATGTCTTCTCCCTAGCTGGAGAACTGCAACATTGGCAGCCATGATATAATATTAGTGGATATTTAATAATGGTGGATATTCTGATGTGCACATCTTCTCAGATGCCCTGGCCCCAGCTCTGCAGTGTCTCAGACTAGGAGTGGCAGGTCATATGGCAGCATGGATTGAGCAGAGGGTTAGGCTATCATTTTGAGAGATGTTTGGCAATATCCGAATGTAAGAATAAAAACAAAAGAGAGTCTCACCCAGATTTTTCCTAGTCACTTCCCTCTGTTGTCATATTTAGGCCTATTTAATTGGTTTTACAGTGTGCTGATTGCTGTTGATGCCTTACTTCCAAATTCCATAAGTGTGTTGCTGTCTTTTGCTATATTTGGTGCTCCTAGCTAGATTTAGGTGGGAATTAAATATTTGTGATGACTTTAAGGTAATAATAAAAATAATTCAATATTTCCTCGGAGCTCGTAGGGATGGTATGAAGAAGCATTAGAACAGTTTGAAGAAATCAAGGAAAAAGACCATCAAGCAACTTACCAGCTAGGAGTAATGTATTACGATGGGCTGGGGACACCTACAGACGCTGTAAGTTACTATTTCATTCACAATGTTTAAGATTTCATTGTTAATGGGTTTTTGAGGTGATTCAGGTTATTTATATTTTAATATTATATTTCTGTACTTTTATTTCAATAATATCTATCCTTTTAGCATTTAAAGGATAGTAGTAGTCATTTTTACATATATGTGAAAGACAGTATTTCTTTTTGCCCCCTCCTTGCTACCATTGACTGTCAATGACGCTTTTGTTTTAAAATGTTTTCCTTTATGTTTAAAAGTTATTCCAAAACTACATGAACATGGAGAAAAGTTAAAAAATAAGTAAAAATAGGATCACCAAATTCTACTATCAAATATGAACAGTTATTATTTTAAAAAATTTTGTTTGATGTTTATTTTTGAGACAATGCAAGAGACAGAGTGCAAGCGGCAGAGGGACAGACAGAGGGAGACACAGAATCTGAAGCGGGCTCCAGGCTCTGAGCTGTCAGCCCAGAGACCAATGTGGAGCTTGAACTCGCTCGAACTCATGAACCATGAGATCGTGACCTGAGCCAAAGTCGGACACTTAACCGACTGAGCCACTAGGCACCCCAACACTGTTATTATTTTAAAGTATATTCTTCCATGTATTGCCCCATGCAAAAAATTATATATATATATACATATATTTGTTTGTATGTGTGGGCACATCACACACACTTTTTCAATGTAGGACTACACTATACATAATGGTTTTTAATATCCTTTTTCACCTAACAATGTATTTTGAATGTCCTTGTCTTTGTCAATAAGTATAATCTACATTATCATTTTAATAATGGCGAAATTAATGTATATCAATAATATTTGTAGGCCTCATTTATTTGTAAATGTTTGCAGATAAAAGAAAGAATAAACTAAGCTATGAGGTTTGGAGATCAGTATGACAATTTTCTCTATTCCTTATGGGATTCTGGGCTTTAGTTTCGTTTGTAAAATGAAAATAAATAAACATAAGTTAGAGATACATATGTCATTTCCTCCTCCTCCCTTGGCCATGGCCAACCTTGAAAATTGATCATGGCCCCCCTTCTAGCTGAATCCAGACGTAGCTTCCGAACTTTTATCAATACAAAACTTTAAGGTTACGTTACCAGTTCAATCCACTGGAGCCAACATGCAAAATAAAAACCATCAACCTAAGTCACGTAGTTGTTAATGAAATTGAACAACATGTAAAATAACACAAGGCACATGTAGTAAGCATTCGATGAGTGTTTTCTTTCCTGATTTTATCTTGTATAAAATTAATGATGGGAACTATAATTCCTGAAATACTTAATTTTTACTCTTTTAGAATCATAGCATATGATGAAATAAGTGAATGATGAAACAAATATTTGCATTAAATGCAAGATATTTTATTTTAACCCGTTTACAGTTTAACCTGTTAAAAGTGTAGTAATATGGGGTGGCTCAGTTGGTTGAGGGTCCAAGTCTTTGATTTCAGTTCAGGTCATGATCTCAGGGTTGTGGGACTGAGTCTCACGTTGGGCTCTACGCTCAGTGTGGAACCTGCTTAGGATTCTCTCTTTCTCCTCCTGCCCCTCTACCCTGCTTGCATACTCCCTCTCTTTAAAAAAATAAAAATTAAAAAAGTGTAGTAACGTGGAATCCATGACTACATTGTTCTCAATCCAACCTGAACCCTCTTTGAAACATCTTTATTTTGTCTGATTCTCACTCACACTGTACATACCTCTTTCCACCATCCTCTAGGTGTTGGCAATACAATTTTCCCTGTTTGCCTCTTTGTAGCCAATCCTCTGTCACCTTTGCTAGCGGCTTCTCTTCTAGATGTTGAAGTGTGTCAGAACCTAGGCCCTTGCTGCCCTCTTCTGCTCTCTCTCCCTGACTAAGTTCATTCAGTCCATGGCTGACATCACCTAGACTTTTAAAAGACTTCCAAATTGTCTTCACACCAGAACCTCATTCTGAGATCCATACAGCCAAATTCCTCCCTCTTCCTAGATGTTAATCGTCGTCTCTCGATCCCTTGGAGTCCATATCTAGTTCACCTACAAACCTGTTGCTTAAAATACACACAAGTCCTACTATTTGAGACAGTGGAGTTTCTTTGCGCACTGGTGCCATTCAGAGGGGTGGTCGTCATCCTCGGAACTGCCTTGAAGGACACGAAAGCAGCTTAAAAAATCCCTTCCTATTTTTTGCACTCTGAGCACCTACTCTACCATCCCCGAGGTATGTGCTTACTCTTATAATTTATCCGACCCTGGTTTATTTAGTTGGATTCACTGCATTATTCACTCACTCTTTCCTTCCACAAACATTAATGAGGAAGGAACAGTCTGAGATGCTGGAGAAGCAAAGATAAGTATGAAAAGGAACGCATAGTTTGAGAATAACTATGAGTGCAGTTGTGAGTCCTGGATTGAGACAATACGTGTGCGAGGCACAAACGTGGGGTCAGGGGAGATTCCGCCGACGCTTAGAAGAGAAGCACAGCATATAAGGTAAGGAAGGAATGGCATTCAGAGGGAGGGAGAGACATGAGCAATGTTATGAAACCTCCTTCAGTACCCTGGATCCAGCTTCCTCAGTCATCTCTTTGCACATTTCAGCATACTAACTGATGTAGGCTTGGCATGACCACCCATTAACTGTGCTGTATATGGAGGCAGCCGGGCACTTCTAAGTCATAACTAGAGAAACCTAGAGAACAGCAGTCTTAACACCAATCATGAGTCCATTTAACCATACTCTTCAAGGCAGTTACCACCTAATCTCTGTGACCATCATATCCTATGATATGTACTAAATAAAATCAAAAATGTAAATTGACATACTGATATTATGAATCTTTTCTCATCCTCAATTAATAAAGCAGTTTTGGGGGAATAGTATTAAAATTCGTTCTACAAAATATTTTAAACAAGATTAATCATAGTAAGATAAAGCCTATTTAAGTAGTAGGATTACTATTCTTATTATTTCAATGATACACTCCAACGTTTAAATATCTGGTGAAAAAAAAAATTGGTCTCGAGTGATTCAGATTCTCCATAATTGTTTTGCCTGCAAATTCAGATAGGATTGAAAGTATTATAATTATTTTATTCAATTGATTTTCTGTTAGATTTTCAAGAGACTCTTATTTTTATATCAATTTTAAGTCATTAAAAACCCAAGGTGCTCTTTAAAAAAAACTACCAAAAAAGTCTCAAGACTCAGATTCACTCTGTCATTGTGTCACTCTCTTCTTTGGCATTTATCTATATTCATTACAAGGAGATATTACACTTAGTTGGCTGTCAAAATTAACTGGAAATTGGAAGAAATTCTGTGGCTGCACTACTTCACGTGATTCTTTACGAACTTGCTGAGTATTTTCTCCCCATCCTTTCCCCCTCCTGTGTCTTTCCCCTCTACCCTCTCTTTCTCTGATGCCAAAAATGGATTTATCCCATTGTCTCAAACAGAGTAATTGAGTCATCTCCTCTTTTGCCTTTCCCTCATGTTACTTCCCTGGAGAGGATTTCTGTGGCCATATTATCAAAATCGACACCCTTTCCTTTCTTCACAAACTTTAATGATTACCTTAGTTATTTGTTACCTGTTTAATTTATCTCTAATTGGAATGTAAGCTCTACAGAATCAGGGGGTTTCATCTGTCTTGCTCACAACTCAATCCCCTAGAGACTTAGAACAGGGCCAGAACCACAGTAGATGCTCAATCATATTTATTGACTGATCTTGTGGCCCCTTGCTGACCACATTGTTATCAGAGTCACCTCAAAAGGCTTTTTCAAAGGACTTTTCTAGAGTAAGATCCTATGTAAGAAAAAGTATGGTAGCAGCTGTTAAGATAATAAAATATTTGCCCTTGTTACAAGAAAAATCAATGCTTCCTTAGAAGAATGAAGTATCATAACCAAGTAAAACTTAGCCCAGAAATTTAACAATTCAACCTAAGGAACTCTATGAATATAATACTTTAGTAGCCTGAGTAAGACACCATATGATGGTTTTAGTATGTATTGAAAAAGCATTTCATAAAACCCAGGACTTATTCATAATGAAAACCTTTAAACATTTTTTTTTCAATGTTTTTTATTTATTTTTGGGACAGAGAGAGACAGAGCATGAACGGGGGAGGGGCAGAGAGAGAGGGAGACACAGAATCGGAAACAGGCTCCAGGCTCCAAGCCATCAGCCCAGAGCCTGACACGGGGCTCGAACTCGCGGACCGCGAGATCGTGACCTGGCTGAAGTCGGACGCTTTAACCGACTGTGCCACCCAGGCGCCCCCATAATGAAAACCTTTAAAAAAAAAAAAAATACTAGGAATTATGTTTCCTTATAACTTAGGAATAGCCACTTACAGTTAAAAGCCCAAACCAGAGACTGTCTTTTTCGAAGCAGAAATAAAATCTTTTTCACGGGTCATACTGACCTACTCATACTATCTCCTGAATATCTTTCAGATCTGTCCCCAGTCCTTTATTCCCACTCCCTCTCTTCCAGTTCAGGCTCACAGGACCCATTACCTGGGTTATTTCAGAAGTAGATCCCCAGCTTCTGTGCTGGTCCCAGACTAGTTACTCAAACTGCCACTAATGCTGTCTTTCCAAAATACAAATCTGATTACGTCCCGTCCATCCAAAGACTTCAACGTTGAAGGTCCAAAGAAGGGCACGATTTGGAGTGTTCCCATGGACAGCCAGCTAGTTGGACACCTAGAGGCCCATATAAAGTAACATTTACTTGGTAAATTTTTCAGTTTCAAAAGCAATAACTGCCCTTCCAAACCCTCATTCAAGTCCCAAGTTTGCAGTGTCTGCCGACATGGGGTGCTTCACCAGGCATCATGAGGCTAACCCACTGTGACTGTACCTGAACTAGACATCAGAATTCCATCTGGAACCCTGACTTCACTCGGTCCCACCAAGCGTCACAGCTGTATCACCTCCGGCTACTACACACAACGTATGCCTCTCTGGTCATTTGTCTTCTCACGTATT